GAGTAGTGCCACCCATTCCAATTAACTGGCCGTTTTCCAGAGTGCGCCCAACACAAGCAGCTGGGATGGGTTCCAACACAACTCCTGACTGACGCAAACAGATAAGTGGTACATAAATAATGAATAAATGAATAATGAAAGCCTTTAATTGACAAGCGGCCAACGCCAAACTCTCCTGCTGAATAAACATTTGTGTATCCACTTTCAAGAGCGGCCAATCAGGCGTGAGCAAACAGTCAAGCAATAAATTAAAGCTTTGCAATTTGATTCTCGCGAGGTACGTGCTTTCATGATAGTAGATGAAAAGAGGAAAAGAGTATAGAACAGTAGGACAGATGAAAGCCAAACTCTCTCCCGTAGAGTTGATTGTATCTAATAAGAGGGAATCAAAAGGTGAGGTACAAAAGGCGAGGGGAACGTTCCAAAAAGCATGTCCCTGGCTGCACCTTGAGATCAATAGTTACTTTTTAGCAACACGTCCGCAGGCGCAGATGGTCACGAGCTGTTGGGGTCCTGTTTAAAAACAAGCCGTATCACATCAATCACATCGCTGCTTTGCTCTCTCTCTCTTGACCTTCACTTATTTCATCAGGCGCGCTTTCATCTCTCCGTTAGCGCGTGCATCCATCCTGTCTTTCATCTAGCTCTCTTTTCCCGTCCTAATCCATCCTTTCAACCTGTGCGTGGCGCCTCCATGTGTTCAGCCCCTGATGAAAGGATGAGCTCAGCATTTCCTGCCAATCACCATCCAGCAGGGCGCTCGGAAGCGGGAGCTGTCCGTGTGAGCGCTCGGACGGGCTGGCAAAAGTGACGGGCATCATCGCAGTGTGACGGAGGGAAAACTCTAGAGCTGGAGGGAACTGTTGACAGATACAGTTATGACAAAATGACTACTAATTTTGTGGTTTTGTGTTTGTACAGCTGAGTTACGAGGGCTTCACAATATTTGACAATGCATTATACAGTTTAATCAGTGTTGACTGTAGCAAATGTAACTTTCAAGTAACATCTTGCAGAACATTTTGTACTCAGTACTGGCCTAAATCAAGACAAGATTCAAACCCCACTAAATGAGAATTAGAACACAATATTAAATAGTGTAGTGTATAAAGCTGACATTTTATATTTTTTGACTTATATTTCCATTTAATTTTTACTGTACATTTTAGGATTGTAACGATAGCCAAGTCTCACGATACAATACCGTCACCGTACGAACCTCACGGTAAGATATTTGTTGCGAAAAGCTCACGATTACAAATGTAACAATATCCAAATCTCTCAGTACAATAGTTTCATGATATACATCTCACTGTACGATATTTATTGCGATATTTTTTCTCTTAATCCAAAGAACTAAGACTTAAAAGTGCTTAGAAGTGTTATTTCTTCTTGTAGTCTACACTGAAACGGAGCAAAGGATCATGGTCTTTGTAGTTCCCTCTGCCTTTTTTTTTAGCTATTGCTGCACCATAACTCTTAATTTAAGCAAAGAGACTTGTAATTCGATATATATTGTGATGGTCCATGATATTATTGTGTCAACTCTGAAGATACGATATGATATTTCGGTTATTGTAACATCCCTCGTACATTTACATTTATATAATTATGTCTTATTTCTATGTCCCTTGCCATCTTTTTGACTTCTTATTAGAATGAGTTATTACCATTTATATTTTTGCTCTTTGTTATTATATTTATTGTGATGTGTGAGTTACTGTACCCAAATAATTTCCCTTGTGGATCAATAAAGTTTGTTTAAGTCTAAGCCTAAATATATTTAATATGGTGATAATAGCAATAATAGTGAAATAACAAAACATTTTATTGTACAAACCTGCTTTCTATAATGTGGGTGTGTTCATCAGCCTTTTCCCAAATTGATTTGTCTCACTAAGAAGAGATTTACATACTGTAAGAGAATTTAAAATCCATAGCAACAGCTACCCCTTGAAAACAGCCACTATCCCCATTAGCACAGTGTTTTGAGATAAGGAAATGGCATACTGTAATATTTATGAATTGTAACAATAACCGAAATATCATGATATCGTATCGTCAGAAGTCTCAATAATATCAAGAGCTGTCACAGTAGATTGAATTATACGTTCCTTTGCTTAAATGCATTGTTCTTTAGTAGGAACAGCTAATAAACATAGGGAACTACGTGTCCCATGATTCATTTCAGCACAGACAACATGAAGAAATATGTTTTTGACTTGAATTCTTGAGATTCTGATAGTAATAATGCGCACCAAAATCTTGTCAAAGGTATTTTAAAAGCAAAAGAATCTAGATTTATATTTGCCACTCCAAAATATCACAAAATAAATATGGTACCGTGAGATTCATATCGTGATAATATCGTACCGAGAGATTTCGATATCATTACATCTTTAGTAATAGATTTTTTTTGTCATCTTGTTCATTCAAATCATTGTCAGTACATGTAGTGTCATAGTCTCATCTCACAAAAAGCAAAACCAATTGAAAATGTTCTGCAGAGACCCATGTCAGGCCCGGAGTACACAGCGTAGATATAAAATAACAATTCTTAGAAGCACAAGTGATAGAACGTTCAACAGTGTGTTTTATCTATTTATGAGCCAACATGTAGTTTGAAAGTGTTTGACGTTCCGATCAGATTTCCTGTTGGGATCACAGGGATTCCACAGCTGCCCTGTCCTTAGCCCACCTCTGAATTATGTGTGTATGTATTTGTGTATCAGGATTTCTATGGAAACGGGCTGGCGCCGCACATACGCAACAGGTGCAGAGGACTGATGTTTGATAGATGAGGAGGTCAAAGTTCAAGCAGCTGTCATAGCAACGGATCATATGTATAAACAAACTTGGACTTTATGTTCTTAAAGTGTATCAAAGGTTCGGGAGCTCTGGTGATACTTGATACTAATGGATTTCTTTATCTAAAATCTGGCAACTCCACAAAGTGCTCACCTGACAATTTGAGTTTTGATTTGTTGGTTTTAAAACTGATTTATTTCTAACAATACCTGCATGTTCAGTCAGATAGAAAGTGCATGAATACTGGCTTCACTATAACAATTTTAACATTAAGGAAGAAGTCCTATTATACTGTGTTACTTATGCTTTTTTTTTTAACCTTAATTCTTAAAACAGGGCAGTATTTTTCTAATTATTTTTAGGTTATTCAATCACTCCTTCCCCTTGTGGCAGTGACCAGCGCTTACCTTGCAGCTATAATCCATTCACAATGACCCTGCCATGAGAACTGTTCACTTTCTCAGTCTTTTTTCTTTGCAAAACTCTGCACCTAGTAATCAAATAAGCATCTGACGCTTTATATACTTTAGTGTAGTGCACATTATAAACTATGTCAGAAGTGAATCAGGAAAACATGGAAAAACAATAAAACTAAAACCCATGGATTTCCAGGGATTTAAAATAAAGAGAGCAACCAGCATCGACTGGATAGTAAATGAGGTTTAACCAATCAGGTCTGCCCTGCCATCTGGCCTTTGGTCTGGACCTCAGTACAGTACAGTGAGGCACTGGCAAAAATAGTAGTAATAGTAGAGATAGCACTTAAAAAAAAACCTTAATAATGTGGTTGCATGGACAAACAGTAGCTGCAGAGATTAGAGCCTGCCTCTGCTTTCCCTGGCCTCCAATCCCCCTCCCTGCGCACAGGCCGTCTCACACATGCCATATCATCCAATAAAGCTGCTCCTGACGTTGCCTCCTCCTCTCGCACACACATCTTATCATGCAACATGGCCTACAGAGCCTTTCTCCTCCTAACATATGTCCACATGTCTGGCTCAGGGTCGCGTGAGACGCCAAGCATCCAGGATATCCACCCGTCTAAGTCTTGGGATAAACATACCCCGTCCACACACAAACAAGCTCCAAGCACATGCTACTTTCAACAGATAATAGCTGGTCATAGGTCAGGATTTGTGACTCATACTTTTAGACACATCTCTGTTTTAGATTTTACCATGAAATACTTTATCTTCTGAATGTAACAACAAATTATAAAGCCAACTGAACTTACAAAACACTTGCTTTGCCAGTCTAGCAATCTGCACCATTGGGATCAGCCCTCCTCCCACCATTTTTCACTCACACACCCCATGACAATTAGAGCTGTGACATGTGCCAGACCATGACATCACAGGGTGAAACAGAACATTTTGGTGGAGAGTAAGACCGACTGGATCTACAAGCTTACTCAAACTTACGTCAGTGACATAATACACTAAATAGTTTACCATAACCCATTATTAATAAACGTAAGCAAATATATTTAAATTACTAGTATGTTTAATATGTCGTTGTGTTTATTAATTAACTAGTTAATTACTTTGATATAATTTGTGCATGTAACGTACCAATAATCAGATCAAATTATTATGATTATGGTGATTATTATTATGATTATTATAATTATAACTTTTTTCTGACTGTGCATATGCACGTAGGGATCTGTTTTCACACTTTTTTAGCTGCTGAAATCAAATATACCAGCCTTATATACATGGGATTTGTGTATTTCTTTGTTTCACTAAGACACTCCGAGCTGTGAGTATCTTCTAGGTTTCAAACATAAGCAGATAAATATCATAAATCAAACTCTGTGCAGTGAATTTAAAGTGTTGTCTTTGTTAACAATGTCTTCCTGCTTACCTCATCAGTACTTACACAAATGTTCCTTTTACAGCATCTTATTTCTCCAACCTGCACCGCTTTATTTTGACACTCCCCAGTAACCCTGACTAGACCTCTGTGTACGCTAAACCCGGTGTTTTTGCAGCTTAGCCCACCTGGTATGTGGAACGTGAGCATTTCCTGGTTTGGGCGGGGCTTGGAGGCTGTGCGGCAAATTTCTATTGGTTTTGGGCAATTACACAGAGAGCCAATTGAGCCCTAGCCTTGCTCTGACCTGCTCCTCGCACAGCATAGCCCACATACCACAACACACCTGCGACGATTCGAATCCACCGTGTACTTACATCAGCTGCAAAGTCAGACGATCTTTTTCCGACGTGGTTTTGTGCAATTCACCGGCAAAACGTGCCAAATCGTGCCGTATCCCTGTTCACAAAGACACAGATAGGAAAAGTTGATTTGACAGCGAAAAGATATTGTAAAACTCGACAAAAGCACTCCAGCACTGGCACTTTTTCAGACTTGTCACCCCAGGCTGAAATCTAGTATGATTTACACAAAAGAGTGAAGAAGGAGAAGGCACTGACAGACAGGTACGGCAGCCAAAGAAGCAAAAAAAAAAAAAAAAAAAAGAATTCTACACTTGATGAAACAGTTCAAAGGAGTGACAACAAATAGAAGAAAGGTAAACATGTCCGACACAGCGGTTTGGGAAAAGTTTGAAACTGTACACCAGAATGTGTTGTTAACAAGTCAATACAAAGTGTCTGCTACTGTTCTATTCACTGTCAAGCTGACAACTACCAGCACAGAGAACATGTCAGAAACAGATGTTAGAAAATGCTAATATTATGTGTACAGCTATTTAATATAAACAATAGAGATGTAACAATAAGTGAAATATTGTGATATCATATCGTCAAAGTTTCACAATAATATCGTGGGCTGTCACAATATATCGAATTAAAAGTTCCTTAGTTGCTTAAATGCATGGTTTAATAGTAGCCACAGCTTATAAACACAGGGAACTACATATCCCATGATTCATTTCAGTGCAGACAACATGAAGAAACATGTTTTTGACTTGAATTCTTGGGATTATGATGGAAATAATTCACACCAAAATCTTGTCAAGGTATTTTAAAAGCAAAAAAGTGTCCTATCAACAATTATATTAGTCTCTACAAAATCCATCCATCCATCCATTTTCGTCCGCTTATCCGGGGCCGGGTCGCGGGGGCAGCAGCCTAAACAGGGACTCCCAGACTTCCTTCACCCCAGACACGTCCTCCAGCTCCTCTGGGGAACCCCGAGGCGTTCCCAGGCCAGCCGAGAGACATAGTCCCTCCAGCGTGTCCTGGGTCTTCCCCGGGGCCTCCTCCCGGCGGGACATGCCCAGAACACCTCCCGAGGGAGGCAACCAGGAGGCATCCGTAACAGATGCCCGAGCCACCTCAACTGGCTCCTCTCGACGTGGAGGAGCAGCGGCTCTACTCCGAGCTCCTCCCGTGTGACTGAGCTCCTCACCCTATCTCTAAGGGAGCGCCCAGCCACCCTGCGGAGGAAACCCATTTCAAGCGCTTGTATCCGCGATCTTGTCCTTTCGGTCACTACCCAGAGCTCATGACCATAGGTGAGAGTAGGAACGAAGACTGACCGGTAAATCGAGAGCTTCGCCTTTCGACTCAGCTCCCTCTTCACCACAACGGTCCGATACAGCGACCGCATCACTGCCGAAGCTGCACCGATCCGCCTGTCAATCTCCCGTTCCGTCCTTCCCTCACTCGTGAACAAGACCCCGAGATACTTGAACTCCTCCACTTGAGGCAAAAATATCCTCTCTACAAAATATCGCAATAAAAATCGTACCGTGAGATGCGTATCGTGATAATATTGTACAGAGAGATTTGGATATTGTTACATCCCTAATAAACAATAAATATAATATGTTCAGCTTTTATAGAAATTTAAGTTAAGTAATTTAAGTTACTGTTTCCACAATTCGATTTCGATACTAAAGAATAGACTCGAAACTCAATACCGATTCGGATACCACAATGATAATTATAAAAAAACACTTTAATAGAATGCAATTTTCAGCTTTTAAAAACAAGGTGCATTGTGTAAGTTTTCTGGTGGAGGGTCCATCAAATATTTTTCTCCATAAAAAAAGTGTATTGCTTTGTCTGGAATGTTTCATAGTTTGGCTTTAACCCTTTCTATCTTCATGGACATCCAAACCAGACCAAGTTACAGGTCAGATCTGTGGAGAGGCGACCCCACTCACAGTCAGAATGCCTGATTTTTTAGGTATTTTTGAGCTTTAAAACCACCTGTAATTGAATAAACGTAAGGTAGAGCTGTTTACTGTCATACTGTGGTAGAGCAATGGCATATCGAAACAAGCAGATGATTGACCTCCAACCAAAAAGTTACACAGTGCATCTTTAAATAATACTACTTTCTTTTATATTACCATGTGTCCTATACATATACTAGTCTATGTGCTCTTATACTTGTTCTGATACAGCTCAAAATCATTTTAAAGGTTAATTTCTGTCCTGTGAATGTGACTTTTTTGTATTGATACTTGCTCAAATGAGTACCTATTTTCGAGACTAGTTTTAGTATCAATTCGTATCTGATTTTCGATACTATAACAACCTTAGTTAAAGTTATGATGGTTATTAAAGTTGTTTATGTGCTGCCATTTTTCTCAGTAGCAGTCAAGAATTTTGTGGAAGACCAAAGTACATCGAGTTAATATTTTTGCCATGGTAACAGCCAATAGGTGGTCCCAAAATAAAGCAGACATTATCATAATAGTAGGAAAACTAATAAAATGTGTGGTTATTTGTTTTTATGTCACTGTAATTTACAAAACCCCAGTGGAAATTTGAGCCAAGCATGCAAACTAAATTGGAATAAAATGTGGAAAGGCAATGTTGATACTTTATAGTTATACTTTTTTAAACACAATGCAGTAAAAGCAAAAATGATCTAAGAGTGCTAAGAATACAGAGCTAATGTGGTGGTGCCCTGGGGCAGACTGACAAAGACTTGGCAGCAGTTCTGTGCCAATGTCCTCGCAAGACACTATTACGCAAATGAAGCAAATTATACTGTCTTGCTCAAGGACACGATTTTAGTTTGGAGTAGGGTTGTCAAAAATATCGAAAATCAGATATTAATCGATACTAAAACTGATATCGAAAGTAGATACTCGATTAAGGAAGTAACGATGTTGAAAATAAATTACATGACTGGATTGGACTGGCCTTTCCAGTACAGACCACATGGTTCAAAAAACAAATACTATTATTTTGTGTGAAAATTACAATATTGTCTAAAGAAAAGAGCTTTTAAAATTAAAATTTGGGTATCAACATCTGTATCAAGTCTATTCTTGCTGTTAGTTACTAGTTTGCAGTGTAGTGGTGAGCAAAAATATTGAAATATCGATATATCATTTCGTTTAATGTAATGATACAGTATCAATATCGTGGGCTGCTGTATCGATATATCACCAAAAGTATTTTTTGCCATATTTTACAAAATGATTTCGTCACAGCGCTACAGTTTTGTTGCTTGTTCAGAGGAAGGAAACTCGTTTATGCAACACATTTGACATTTTCACTGTTTTCATGATTCAAATTTGTGTGCTTCATATGAACTTTGCACAAGAAGTGGTTTAACAAAGACTTTTAGTATCACACCCATGATTTAGCCTTTATTTTTTATTGAATCACATCGAATTGATTTGAAATAGATATTAGGGGTGTAACAATATCCAAGTCTCACGATACGATATCATCACGGAATGAACCTCACGGTATGATATTTATTGCTGTATTTTGAAGAGGCTGATAAGTAAAGATGAGACACTTTTTTGCTTTTAAAATACCATGACAAGATTTTGGTGTGAATTATTACTGTCACAATCCCAAGAATTCAAGTAAAAAATATATTTCTTCATGTTGTTTGCACTGAAATGAATCATGGGATATTTAGTTCCTGATGTTTTTTTAGCTGTTGCTACTATAAAACCATGCATTTAAACAAAGGAATTTGTGATTCGATATAATGTGACAGCCCACGATATTATTGTGAGACTTTTGACGATACGATATCACGATATTTCGGTTATTGTTACACCCCTAACAGATATCATATTGAATCATATTGAACTGAAAGCTCACTGTATCGAGATATGTATTGTAATGGTAACCTCTGAATAATACCCAGCCTTAATAAAAACACAGATTTAAGTTAACGTTTTAAGTTAACAGCAACAAAACACATTATAACATACAGTACTTCAAGTTTGGTTGAGGTGCAAAAACAGCACTGAATTGAGAAAAGGTTTGCAATTGAAAAAGTCCATTGTGTGCAACGTTTTTGTATTTGAATATGACGTCTAAATCAGTATAGTTAATGTTTATGAGCTATGATACAAAAAGGACAACAAGGCGCCAACTGGAATAAGATCAGAGGGAATAATCAGATGAAATGTATTAAGGAAATTCTAATCAGCTCTTTGAATGACCCCAGCTTTGTTACATAAGCCTTCAAAATTGATTGGGCCGAAGGAACCGCTGGCTTACAATTGAAACTCCGACTCACGTGCACTCGCCATTGTTTGGATGGTTAGCGTGGGTGCTTGTGTCTGCCCATGTGTCTAGTGTATTTTGAATGAGACGTCTGTGAGGGTCCTTGAGAGCGGGGCAGGGGCACTCCGGCTCAGCTTTTTGGAGAGAGCTCTCAGCCTGATTCAGCAATGTCAGCCTGACATTCTGCCCTCTTGTTTGCTTTGGGGTTATTCTTTGTTTCTCTGGCTCTTACCATTCAATTCACTCTCTCTCTCCATCTCTCTTTTTCTTTGTTCTTCCGCTTCCTCCAGCCCTCTCCCCCGGCGCTAATTTTCTGTCTGTGTTTTTCTCTCTCAAAAGAAGGGAGTGAGGAGGTGGAGGAGGAGGAGGGAGTCCAGCTCAAAGTGGCAATATACCGATAATTGCTTTCTGGTCACTGTGACATGACAAGGTCTTTGAGGGTAGGGCAACACACGCACACAAATAATGGCGAGCGCACCAGGCTCAACAGAAATAGTTGTGCAAATACTTGAGCGAGCTGAGAGGATTTGGAGTGAAAGCAGGGTGCAGGCAGGCAAGCATGATGGACTCTGTTTTTGCGAATATGCTGCTGCTTAGGTCACGATAATTACTATTAAACTGTAATTTTTGAGGGAACTTTTTCCTTTTAGTAGTTGGGAACTTTTTGTACTACATTAAGAGCTGAGCTGTAAACGGTTGAATAAATACTAGGGATGTAACGATATCCAAATCTCATGGTACGATATTTATTGCGATATTTTGAAGAGGTTAATATAATTGTAGATGGGACACTTTTGCTTTTAAATTACCTTGACA